ATAGCTAACGATAAAAATGTATTCGACAAAGTTAAATCACTCTTGATATGAATATTCCATTTCACAGACACACACACACAACACACACAAACACACACAACACACACAGCACACACAAACACACACACAACACACAAAATACACACACAAACACACACACAAACACACACACAAACACACACACAAACACACACACAAACAACACACAACACACACACATACACACACACCTCCGAACAACCATGCTCTAAGTTAATACTATTTAGTTACCAGACAATGTGATTATACTCATGCTCTATTGCCAATATACTTTTAAATTTACCGCTCAGACTTTTTTGACTGAGTATTATATTTGCTAATTGATTAACAACGACTGCATTTAATCATTCAGCCCTCTTATAATTCAAGGATACGTGCTACTCCCAAGGACAAGGATACAAGGACTCCGTACAGGTAAGTTATTTTATTTTATTATTTTAATTATCCAGATAGCCCTCCTTCCTTACTGAGAAGTTCCGGGGAGGGCTATAAAACATTCTTTATCTCCGTCTAAGGGTAGGAACTAAACGGAGCTTTGCTTTTATTTTTTAATTTGTAATACTTACAAATGCATTTCCTTGTCTATTATCTTTAGTTATTTTATTCAAAAAACATTCAGTTCATGAGACTAGAGTGTGTATTCCAAATAAAATACGGTTAAACTTGGCTGATGAGATCGGTTTTAAAACCATGTCGGAGTCGTTTTTCTACTTTTCCTTTCCGTTATTGTGTTCAAATTTTCGGCATGCGGCGTACATATGCCTGCGGTCAAATTCGAACAATTCTAGTTTTGGACTTTACGGAAAGATTTTCTTCGTGTTAGGCTCTTACATAAGCTATTCGCTGGCGCCATTCATGCTCTCAAACATGATTTACAGCTAAAATAGGCAACTCTATAGGGGCACTCCAACTTTCTTGTTTTTCTTAATTTTTTAAAAATCTCTTATTTTTCTTTTCTACTTTTTTAGATTCTATATGAACTTCTAGAAGCAACAATAGTAACCATTGAGCAGTTTGGAAATTCAAGCTCTTCAGTAGTTAAATCGGAAATCTGCCAAAAATGATTCGAAAATTTTTTCAAAAAATTTGAAAATTTGATTTTTTATGTGTGACATGTATTAGGTCATTCCGGAAGTAATTTCGCATTCAAACGGGCGCCACATTTGATGAAACAAAGATTTCCAAAAGATCTTGGTAGAATTCGATGCAGCATTTCATCCCCTTTCTAAATGTTATGAAAATGTTGCAACATACTCAATGAGCTTTCAGAAAATAACCAAAGTCTGCGCTCTATGCTTTTTGAGACGGTCAAGTTTCACAATTCTTTAAAACTTTCATGCCAACCCTCAGAAGAGTTCAAGTAACAATTCGATAGAGCAAACCTTATAGAATACAGTACAACTTTTTCTCTTTTTGGTAGCTTGCGGTAATTTTTTTTGGAATTTTTTTTAACAATTCATTGGATTTCGGCAGGCCTACATCAGCCACAATCGCATCAAACATCATAACCACTCGGAATTTGAAACTCCAAAATGGTACTATGAGTTAGCACTAATTTTACAAAGCAATTGAGAGTTTACGGGTTCAAAATATCAAATTCCAGTTTTTCGGGTATAGCCTGGGACACGTTCAAAAACGAGTCATGATGACCCAAGACCCCAAGAATCGGAAACAAAAACACCCGTTAGAAAGAGGAGAATATGCTGCATCGAATCGTGTCCGAGCTGCTCTTCCTTTGATCTACGAGGATTTAGCTGTCCAAGTATGGAAATCGGTAGCATCAGTTAAAATTCTGTTAAAAATGTATGACAAGCTATGGAAAGGAGAAAATGTTGTTTTGCATTCTGTAGGGTTTGCTCTATGAACACGCTACTTGAACTCCTTCTGAGGATTGATATTGTTGCGGCTCGGTGGGCTGCACCCCTTGCTCGCTCGACTGCCAACACAATCCTGCACCTACTCCTGCACACCCTAGCGTCGGTTAGCTACTCGGCGCGACCGAAAAATATCCCGCTGGATAACAATAAATCATAACAACAAACACCCGACTAGATTACGACTAGACTTAAACTTATCTAAAATAACAAAACACAACACCACAAAGAAACTTAACTACGAAAAATCCTAAACTACGGTAAGACAAAATACGGGAGGAGAAAGAAAAACCGTTGAAAATGGTCAAAATTCTCCAACTCCCGCCGTTCAGAACGGTGCGTGGCGGCTGCGGCGCTGCAGCCGCCACGCACCGTTTCTGAACGGCGGGAGTTGGAGAATTTTGACCATTTTCAACGGTTTTTCTTTCTCCTCCCGTATTTTGTCTGACCGTAGTTTAGGATTTTTCGTAGTTAAGTTTCTTTGTGGTGTTGTGTTTTGGGTGGGAATCAGTATGAACCCAGCCTAAGAATACCCTAATTTTACGCGTACAAGGCGCAAAATTTTCGATTTTCCAATCAAACCGCTCAGCCGCTCCAAAGTATTTCGGAAAGCGATCCCTATGCCGTACGATTCTCTTAAGCAATATACAGCACGGCATAGGGTCCTTTGGTTGCAAAGTTCCTCGGCATATTTGGGCTAGTCAATTTTGGAAAAAATCCCCTGCGCCTTGTACGCATGAAATTAGGGTACATGAGAAATCAAGCATTTGAAAACGAGGTCACCGAAATCAAGGAGGCTTGTGGCGCGCGTTGCGCCGCTCTATATAGCCCTTGATTTGGCAACGCGCCCAGCGAGGAGATTTCCGGGCGCGAAAGCAATAGCTATTGCTTTCGCGCCAGTCTGTACTCAAAAAATTCGGATTTCACTATTTCGAGCCGCTAAACGCTCTTGCTTACAAAGATTGGTGCTGAGTCATAATCTGTTTGTGAAAGCTTTAAATTCCGAAGATTTGTCAGTGTTTGAAGCGATTGTGTATTTCGCAACTACGCAAAACTAAGGTGATTTTGAAAAAATTATCTTAAAAATACAGAAGAGATGATGAAGAAAAATAGTTAGTTGTATTGCATTCTGTTTATTCTATCCAACTGTTATTAAAGCTAGTCCAAAAGTTGAAAATGGAAATTTTGAAAAATAACCAAACTGGAGATAGGTGAAAATCATGGGTTGGAGATCTCTGCCGATTATTGAGCGGACATCAAGGGAATCCTGGCAAAAACATAACATCAAAAAGAGGAAGATTCTGAGGAAGATGAAAATTATGGGCTGGAGATCTCTGCCGATTATTGAGCGGACATCAAGGGAATCCTGGCAAAAACATAACCATCAAAAAGAGAAAGATTCTGAGGACATTCTGCATCGGACAGTGCTTACAGCATTTGTTTATCTTTATTCTAAGTGGTTTAAGCATGGCTCTGAAAAACAGCGCGAACTTTCGGACCGACCTAATAGAATTTTTGTAATCTTTATGTGCAAAAAGCTTCTTTATGGAGCTGCTGCTTACTTATGGAACTGCACAAAATGTCTCCTTACCTCAACAACCGCTTTCAATATAATATTGACGATGAGATAGAGAAGCAGTCATAAAAAAGAGGATTATTATTAGTATTCACTTATTGTAGTAACCACCTTACGTTAGCTTCGAATAAAGCAATAATTATAAAAAAGCTAACACGAGAACTTCTTGCATAGTCTAAATCTTTGGGTAGGGAACTATATGTCGCTGATAGGCTCCACTCCACGCGCGGACAGTGCGGAGGGTTTGTCCTAGGGGCAGATGTCAGTGTGAGACCACCCGCTTTCGGCGACAAGTCCTCCACCCAAATTGAATAGTCGAGATTTTTCTAAAGCCGAAGCACAGACACGCCGAGAGACTTTGCGACCAAAAAACTGTTTACAGTGCTGCATATTGCCTGCGAGTATCGTGCGACATAAGTCTCGTATCTCGAAACACAACGAGACTGCTGAACGGCAGGCTTGAAAAACCGAAAAAGGTGCGTCTTATACGCGTAAAATTAGGGTAGTTCAAGAATGAGACGGAAAAATGTAAGGCTTGCATGTTCATGCTAAGAGCAATCTCGTGTTTTTTTTGTTTTTACTCACTTTTGGAAATTGTGAGTAGCATGCACCAGCACACGAACAAACTAGAGTGAGCTGTTCTAGCAGCTTACAAATAAGGTGTACCTTTAGATACCCGCAGGTTTTTTTCCGCTACAGGTTTTCCTTCCAAATTTGGGCGTGCTTCTTTTATTGTCCTTGCGAAATCTATAGACATTTAATCAGGAGAAGAAAAATTTACTGCTGTTTCCTCTTTTCAAGTTGGAGCACCATTAATGCAGCTTCTTTACACCCTCTGTGAAATGCTGCAAAGAGAAAACTGATTTTCATGTGACTTTGCGGCCTTCTAATATGTAAGACTGCGCACTATGCGCAACGACATTTTTACTAGTGGATAAAGAATAAAGGATCCGGCGATTTCAATTTCCTCTGCAGGCATGCGCCGAGCGTACACTACTCCATAGTCGAAGAGGCAATCGTATGCGTGCGAGCCTATTACAACTTGCGAGGACCAGCCGTTTATCAAGTCAGTGCTTTTATTCTTCCAAACTACTCTGCTACCAATTTGCCGGCCCTGGACGGTAGAGGGCTTGGTCGGCCAGGGGCGGAAATCGAACTTGTGTCCGATCTGGTCGTAGCGGCGCCTCATACAACTATGCCACTCGTCCTCATTAACGGAGATAAGAAAACAAGGAGAACACTGGGAATGAGCAGGCTCCATTCGTAAAATTTGTCCCGTAGCTTGCATGGAGTGCAATACGAATATTAAATCAAAAATGATTTAAGGTGACATCTAAAAACATTGTTCTGATTTTTGAAGCATGCTTTCGTTTCGTAAAAGTATTTGCAGCTGACAGACATATTTCTTGAGGTTCTAGCGCACATCGGACATGATTTGGTAAAGCTTAAAGTCAACAGAACATTTATTGCGTATGTTTGGTGTTTTCAATCTCAACTAGCAAAAAACATTCTTAAAATTCCGTTATTCTCCAGGCGCCTGCTTCAGCCTTCAGATACAAACCCTTTAAAATTCCGTTATTCTCCAGGCGCCTGCTTCAGCCTTCAGATACAAACCCTTCTTCCTCCGATAAAGATACAAACCCTTCCATAAACGGAGCAAATCTGTAATTGCTTATCAGATACTGTATAGTGTGATATATTGTTAACACTTACCATCAGTAAAATGACGAAAAGGATGAAATAAAGGTCCGCAAGCTTCTCCATAATCATCTGTAACAAACAAATTATTGTTAGTGTTTACAGCTTATCCTCTAATATAAAGCTTTGTTTGGAGTACTGTCGGAGTTCCCCAGAATGGCGCAAATCATAATTAAGAATTTCTCGCAGTTTTTTGCCTAGAAAGCCAAGCTAGCGAACATCTCAGTGCTCTGAGCGAGGCGTACTAGTTGCAGAGTACCATTAGTGGCAAACTAAGATTGCATTAGGCTTGGTTATCGGCTCCCTTCTACTCTAAAATAGTTTGAAAGAAGTGTTGCTAAACAACGCGGAGTAATGTATTGTTAAAATAAAGTTATACAACAAACCCAGATTTGCTTGATTGTAAGAAAATGAAAGAAGAACTGAAGATTGTGTATGCCACAGTTTTGCGTATAAAACTGAACCTACCAATGAATTGATGGAGGTTACGGTGAAGGGAAAACGCTACTTGGCTCATTAAACCGTCTTCTTTTATAGTATGAGATGATTTGGTGCATAGTAAAAAAAATTGGTACAATCACATCACTTTCAGGTTTGCAGATTTGGTGCATAGTGAAAAATTGGTACAATCACATCACTTTCAAGTTTGCATTTTTCTACTCGTGCTAAGTTTCAGGTCCAGTGTTTCTGTTTCTCACGATTCATTTTAAGCAAAAGGAAACGGTGACCTTTTCTGCCCATAATGGTAGTCGTTACAGTGATCATTCGATTTGTCAAAGAATAGGCGGTCACTGACAAGGGAAGTTCGCTGAGTCGAAGTGGCAATTCGGAAGGTAATTTATACCAATGGATAGAACGTGAAACGCTGTTCTCATATATATCTTCAATATCTGCAACGCTTTCTAGGTTGAGTTATGGGCTTTTTTGTATGTATAATGGAATCGTGATCTAGAAAGGAAATGAGACTATGGATAAACCACATGGTCGGAAAACACTCGAAAACGTTTGGATGAACTCAGCTTAGACCTAGAATGCTTACTAGATAGTTTGCTTGAGGCTTGCACGCTTTTGTATAGAAATCACCATGATTTTGCGCATCAAAATGCACGAAAATTTGGCATTAGGAAAATCCATAACTTTTTTCAGAAAAATGCATCGTAGATACAGAAGGTATACCTAAATTCAGCGTTTCAAGCTCTATTCATTGGTATATATCAACTTCCAAGTCTCCACTCCGATCAAGTGAACTTCCCTTGTGAGTGAAAAGTTGACTCAAAGCTGCTGTTTTTGAGTCATTCAGCACCACACTGCTTTCGGCAGACAATTAACGGATCCTACACTTTTGATTTTAGGTTGTAAGGATAACTCCCTTCATATGTTTTGCGCTAAGAAACTGAGTTCGCACTGCAATGACGCTGAGATTAGAGTAAACATGGATCTTGTCTTCCGAACTCTCGAACAAGTATCTAGAACCCGTCTATATAAAAATTCGCAGAACATCTCGAACTTCATACTGAACTGACAACAGGCTTCTTTTCATGTTGTGATGAATAAAGAGATGAGTAACTCGGTATTTGGATACTAACTATTTTCCTTTGTTTAGCGAATAGCAGTTCAAATTATGATGCGTCATTGTGAAACACTTTGGTTGAAGGCAGCCTCCAGGCTCCTCCAAATATGGAAATACGGGGTTCTGATGTGGAATGTAATTTTGGGGCCTTGAAGGCAGTGGATCGACAGAATGGGCCATTCTCGGATTTTAGTGGATTTAGGTAGTGGACCCCCCAAGTACATTGTAGCCTAAACCCCACCTGCCCATTCATGCGCTGAGTCCTGAAAAATGCGCTTCAAAACTCCACCAGCCCCGCCCTTTTCCATTGAGTGGGCGGGGGGAGTTTTGAAGAGCATGTTCCAGGACTTAGCGCATGAACTGGCAGATGGGGTTTGGGTTACAGTGTACTTGGGAGGTCTACTACCTAAATCCACCGAAATTCGAGAAGGGTCCATTCTGCTGATCCACTGCCTTAAATCAAGACACTGCCCAAGCAGCAGCTTAAATGGTGAACTCACAGTTAAGATATTCGCCTCCAAACTGGACCCCGGGATTGTATCGCATGAATTCACGGCGCGACACGCGTGGGCTCTTGCGCGAAACTGAATTGTGTCGCGCCATGAATCCATGTGCGAATACAATCTCGGGGTCCAGTTTGGAGGCGAATATCTCAACTGTGTAAACCACTTGAGCTGCCACTTGGGCAGTGTAGTCAGGGCTCCCAGATTACCCTCCAAGTGAGGTGTCTCCATAGGCCCAGACTTGCCTGGACGCTGCCTTTAACTAAGCGAAATAATCTCACGCTTGCTAACAGCGAAAGTATCTTTGTTTGCGCCTTCTTCATGCGGAAATGAATTCTACTCAAACAGGACTTACATCCAATTTTCATTAAAGCGCCGCTCTTTTTAGAGATACAAGGCACCGCGCAAAAATTTGTCTCAATGTTTGCAGGAATAGCAGAAGCAACCGAGCCTATTTTTAGCGCCTAATGCAAAGAAGATGATTCTGATAAGAGGAGCGACATTCAATGAATCAACCTACTAAGCAATTGCGCAATATTCTGGAAGTGACGTTGGAGGTCTGAAGTGCCAAAGACGATGCCCTTATCATACTGGAAGTCCTAGGAACGTGCGATTTGAGACGGTGCGCCACAATAAATACCTCACCTAAATGCTATGACCACAGCATTGCTATGAATTTCGACACTGTTAATAAATGTTATGATAATTGGAGTCGTTGTAGTCCACAAACACAGGTATGTTCATTTGCTAAATTATTTATACTTTTGGCTATTTATTTGCGTAGCTTTACGTTCCGTTCTGGCGGCTCTGCGACAGTAGTCGGCTGCCTGGGTATCACTTGCACGCCTTCCCATTTGAGTAGTAGTAGAAGCGACCGAACTTATTTCTAGCGCTAATATAAAAAAGATATAAAATCTCTGATAAGAGGAATGACATTCAATGAATCAACCTTCAAAGCTATTTCGCAATATTCTGGAAGTGACGTTTGAGGTCTGAAGTGCAAAAGACGATACAAGACGTTTATAGGACTTCCGTAATGCTCTTATCGATGCGCCGTAATAAATACCTCACTTAGATGCCACACCACAGCATTGCTATGAATTTCGACACTGTTAATAAATGTTATGATAATTGGAGTCGTTGTAGTCCACAAACACAGGTATGTTCATTTGCTAAATTATTTATACTTTTGGCTATTTATTTGCGTAGCTTTACGTTCCCAATTTGGGCTTCACTTCTTATCCATCATAGTGACATCCGTCATTCGTCAAATTCTAACCAAATCGCATCAGGTCGGCAATGGTTACCTTTGGAAACCTTGCGAAGAGTACTGCCAAAAGTGCAAAGGAAAGGCAACCGGTAGTTGTGAGCCAGTGCAGAATCAAATGTGCAGTGGTGGATTTCAGTGCCAGTAAGTAATAGGCATAACGTAGTTATGAGTGCGTTCAAAAGATTGATTCAGGTGCAAAGGAGGTTCATACCCCAAATCAACAAATCCTATAGATAATGTGACTTGCAAACTTGGCCTCTGATGCAAGTGGAGAGACATGTATTAGGTCGGTGCAAAAGTTTTGTCAGTTTTTTCAATCCATCGTCAAACACGTTAGAATGAAGATAAACTAACACTTCGAAATGTAGCCGATGCAGAATTTCTTCCTCTTTGCCAAACTATCATTGTGCTTAATTGAGAGAGTGATGAGATATTAGCTGGAAATTGCAACCACTCATTTTTACCATGTCCAAGTTTCGCTAATTTTCAATATTTTTGTATGCGACTTTCGGAGGACCTTCAATAACCAGCAGATAGGGCAAACCTTTTGCCAACAAAATCAATTTTTGTAGCCCTACGGCTTGTCTTTCAGAATTTCTACGACTTATTTTTGAAGCGACTAAATTTTACATTCAGCCTGTTTTAACCTCGTAGAACATGAAATGTTGAACACTTCAGTCACTATTCGATTCAACTTTTTCTCCTCCTTCTAACGCTTGTCTTTTTTTGCAGAGATAGGCGAAAACTATGGGGAAAAGAGAAATATTTCTCAATTTCACGAGTGCGCACTGACGTAACCAATGTTTCAGAATTGTCATAAGTTGCAGCGAAAATCGCTCATTTACCTTGTAATGGTAGCGGTAGTAATAATCGAGTGTTGAAAACTGAGTATTCTCTAGTTTTTGCAGTGTTTGATGCAATAACAGGTTATGCGGTTTTTCCAAAACACAAGACTTTTAGAAAATTATTTAGCAAAAATCTGAAAAAGCAGATGAAAGAAAGGAAAAAATTGCATAAGTTGGCAAAAGGTATGCCCTATCTGGTGGTTATCAGGGCTTCTCCAAAACTCTCATACGAAAATTTTGAAAATTAGTGAAAGTTGGACATGGTAAAAACGAGTAGTTGTAATTTTCAGCATATATCTCGTCCCTCTCGCAACGAAACACAATGTGAGTTTAGCAGCAGGAAAGAGGAAGAAATTCTGCATCGGATACATTTTGAATTATTAGTTTATCTTCATTCTGACGTGTTTGACGATGGACTGAAAAAACTGACAAAACTTTTCCACCGACCTAATATGTCGTAAATACAGTACACTAATCTATCGTGATGATGTCTTACTTTGATAGTAAATGTTGTTGCAGATTGTGACTTCGCAGAAAATTCAAGACTTTATATAGGCTATAGTGAATTTTGACAGCCCTTTAAGCACAGAAAATGCGTGCAAGAAAGAATGGTAAGTACCTTACCCAAACCTGCGATTTATTTTAGTCTCCCAATTTTTAGATCAGACTACGCATCATTTCTAAGCGTTTAAATGTTTCGAATTACAGGGAAAGATAAGAATATATTTATCTTATTATTTATTATATATTATATTTATCTTATCTTATTTATCTTTATCATTTGTAGACTTTTAAAATTTGAAAAATCAATAGAAAACTTGGTAGATTTGCTGCTTCTTGTCCTTCGAAAGTTCGTAGCTAGTGGGAATTCAAATTTGAAAATACTATCCAACCTTATCGTTGCATTTATTCACTCGTCGCATACTAAGATGCCGGCCTAAAATGGATGCTTTATCCTTATAGGTTGTGGGCTAACACTCCAAAGAAAGGGGTTTTATAACTTGTAATTTCAATCTATGAGAAGTTCGGAGCCAACTAAAAAACCTAAATGCCCCAAAATAAGATAAAGACTCTACCCAAAAATTCCTATGCATTTTCACTTGCTTACGCTTACACTCCACAGACATCCATATACAGTTGCTGCATTTTCTTCTTGGCAATAAGCCGAGTAAGCGGAAATATGTCGTGTTCTAGCAAGCAATGCTGAGCTGTTTCCATAGTAGACGTATACTATTATATTATGACGGACTACAAGTTTGTTGAACAGTCCAATGCAGTCAACTTTTTGCGACTTCAGCCTTGGCTGGTATGCCTGGTAATTTGACCGATTTTGTAACTGTGAGCCGGATAGAAGCTCAATGCGGAGACAAATCAGAAACCGAAGCTCCGAATTACGAACATTTTCACTTCAAGCACTGGACGATTTGTGCATAATCTGTTAACGAGATGTCCTACTCTCATGCCTGCAGAACCGAATAAAGTTTATCAAACTATTAGAACTTTCAGCGCCATCTAAGTCAAATGTTGTGAAAAACACTGCTTGGGCAACAAGTAAGCTTTTGACACCAGCTATGTTTTTTAGAAGCATGGGGTCATTTGCATTTGAGTGTTGGCCAAGAAACTGGATTCATTAAAACTTTCTCAGTGGTATGTAAACTTTCAACAGTTGGGACTTAAAGCTTGCTTACAATAATAACGTGTTATTAGAATAACGGCGTGGGGAAATTTTTCAAATAGTACAGATTCTGTAACAGAAATTTGGCAGAATGAATGTTTGAAAAAGGGTTTTGAAAATCACGCATTGATTTTGATGTAATCTAATACAGCCCTTTAGAAGTATAATCGCATATAAATAGCCTCCTACATGATCTGCTTTTCGGGATATACTAATCTGGCAATAGACCTTTCAGATATAACTAGATTTCGAAGAATACACTACCGCTCTCAGAACGTGCAAAATTTCCGTGAATGTCGCGGAATTCCCGGAATTCCGCGAAGGTCCGCGAAATTTTCGGAAATTCGCGACATTCCGAGAATCTCGCGGAATTCCCGGAATTTCGCGAAATTCCGAAAATTTCGCGGAATTTTCGGAATATCGCCATAACTTCCTTCGGAATGCATAAATTCTGGATCTGAAACAAGGATATATTCAGCTCATTAAGGCGAATCTTTTGGTACCTTGCCTTACCGTAATTCCCGGGTCACGATTGGTGCACTTTAGGAGGTAAATTCTGCTTCTTGGGGAAGGGAAGGTGGATACAGTATTCGTGCCCTGCACTCGAACCCACCCCTTCTAGTGATAAATAGGTGCTTGAAGCTACTAAACAAACAGAAGAGCGGGAAAAACATCGACGACATCATCACGGCATGTTCGCATATTTTAGAACTAACCACACCCAATACCACTGATTTCTACCTTCCCCCCCCCCTAGAATTTTAGAAAAGTCGCAAAAGGATTCACTTGCTGCCGTACACCCACCTCCCCTCTCCCAAGATGCAAAGTTCATCTTCTACCGTGCACCGATCGTGCCCCGAGAATACGGTAAGGCAAGGTACCAAAAGATTCGCCTTAATGAGCTAAGTATAACCCTTGTTTCAGATCCAGATATGTATTCTGAAAGAAGTTATGGCGATATTCCGAAAATTCCGCGAAATTCCCGGAATGTCGCGAAATTCCCGGAATGTCGCGACATTCCGGGAATTTCGCTACATTCCGGGAATTTCGCGACATTTCGGGAATGTCGTGAACCTTCGCGGAATTCCGGGAATTCCGCGACATTCACGGAAATTTTGCACGTTCTGAGAGCGGTATTGTAGCTCTTCCAAAAAGCGTATTTCTAATGGCTTGGTTATGTAAGCGTTGAAGTGAAAACACCGCAGTCGGTTAGAAAAAAAACTCAGTGAACATCTTCAAACCGTATCAGAAAACGAAAAATGTACTGCTTTTGCACAAAACATCTGAACTTTCGTTTTCGTGAAACAGCAGTGTATAAAGGAATATCTGATGGTGGACATATGTGGTTAAGGGAGAAAAAGTACGTGATAAATTTTGAGCCGTTAGGGCACTTACAAGCCTTTCGCTAGCTAGAGATTTTCGTTTTCGGCTCCAAACTGCGCGTGGAACGAAACTGGCGCTTTTTATATTGTCGCGCTTATTTTATTCTACTAGATGGTACCCATCCACAATATAGGAGACCTACAATTTTCTGCGGTTTTAATTTGTTTGTTTCTATAATTCCACCACAAACTATTTAAAATAGAAACAAGGTGCATGAAACATATATCAGTAACAAACTAATGCACCTACTTCTTCTCAAGAAGCATCAAAAAATGTGATTGATTTCAAAACTTCAGGTTAGACAGTTGTGCTACTCTACATTCTGCAATATTTATAAGAGAGATCGCTCGCAACTGGATCTGTCAGCTGCGAAAAGTCTGCTCGCAATCAAAAAATGCTACAAAATGGAAAAGTTGGACATGTTTGTCTACTTATCTAGGAACTCCTTGGTGATAGACAAATGTTAGTTGTATGTAAGGTGCCGCTTTTGCCTTCTCAAAAATTGAAATGTTGTATGCTATTGGAGAATCAGCATCTTTCGGCAACTCAAGTTTACAGAGTGATGACTTGGTATATTTTGATTGAGACTAATTTTCATTGTAAAGTGCCAAAAATTTGTTATTTATGGAAGGACTCAACAAATCGCAACAAAAATAATATCTAAGCAGAGAAAATACGGTTGGTGCAGGAGTTCTTTTTTTGAGTCCATCTGCAACTGCCGCAAATACACAAAAACAATTGCTTCAAGTTGTATCCGATGCATAATTTTTTCCTCTGTCCAGCATTTACGCTCACTATTCGACTTTCAGGACCAGCGCTGAGATATTAGTCGAGCTTATGATCATTTTTACAATGTTAAGTTTTGCTGATTTTCAGAATTCTTATTTATTCGCTGATTTTCTGAATTTTATTTACGACTTCTGAAAAGCTTCGATTACTGACAGATAGAGCAAACCTTCTACAAAATAACGCGATTCCTTTTACTTCAGCTTCGGATTCGGAATTTCGCTAAAATTTTGCAAAAGTATTGAGCTCTGAGGAAAATCGCACACCACAGCTTGCACTGAAAAGTGCAAATTCTTCGTAATACTGAAGCTTCAAGGCTTGCATATTACTAACACTAACCTTACAAGGTAAATGAGGGATTATTTCATCGAATCATGAAGATTCTGAAATGTAGGGTACAACAGTACATGCTAAATGCAGTAATTTTGCCTGCAAAAGTCGCATATATCACAATTCAAAAAGTGTTAGATTGCTGCAAAAGTAATGCGCATTCTGCGAGTTCTCACTTCGACGTGCTATAACTTTCTAAAATTTTTACATTTTTTAATTCGATGAAGACCATTAGAAACAGCAAACTTATTGCAACACAGCGCTCACTTATACTCATATCACAAACTGGCCGAAAATATCTTATATATAAAGCTGAATGTCTGTTTGTCTGTCTGTCTGTATGTCTGTCTGTATGTCTGTCTGTCTGTATGTATGTACGTATGTTCCGAATACAAATTTTTATTTCTGAACCGATTGGGACCAAACTTGGCACACATATACTTCAGGGCAGGGAGCGTGTCATAGGCTACTTTTCGTTATCGATCGATATCGATTTTATTGATTTTTTGCAAAATTCGAGCTAGAGGGCTGGGATTTGGCAGAGGGGGGTAATCGAGCATGCTGATCACCCCGAAGGGGTGATCAGCATGCTCGATTACCCCCCTGTGCAAAATCCTAGCCCCCTAGCTCAAATTTTGCAAAAAATCGGTAAAATCGACATCGATCGATAACGAAAAGTGGGCTGTGACACGCTCCCTGCCCCGAAGTGTATGTGTGCAAAGTTCGGTCCCAATCGGTTCAGAGATAAAAATTTCTATTCGGAACATACGTACACGGGTCTAGCTGGCAGGCCCGGCGGAGCCGGGCAAGCCAGCTAGTAGATTGATAAGCAAAAGCTTTCTTTTCCAAAAACTCTTTTTTGACTTATCATAACTCTCTTTGAAAGTTGTTAGTATGAATGATATTAGCCTATTCTAAGGCGCAAACCAGCAGCACAAAAAATGGAAAAGGCTCAAACAAAAAGATTTGCGGAAAAAAATCGAAATCCGAAATTGTCCGCTTTTTTCAACATTTGTTCGTAGGCCGTAAAGTCCCAAAATATGGAGTTTTTTGATTTTTTGCGTACTGAACAGCTGAAAACTTGTGCAAGAACTGTCAACAAGAGACCCACTCTTACGCTTACAGATATGATCAAAGCTTTGGCGGTTGCCTTCTTCAAAGGAAATTTATGGGCCACGGTATGACAACGGGTACCCATCTTGTGGCGCCGAGATCTTAGTCTAAATAATTTCCAAGAAGACAGTAGAGTGTATATAATGTAGAAAATTTCTAATACATACAATCTATTACATAGCATCTATTACATCTATTACATAGCTAGATTTTCAAAAGGACATCTTCCGCGCTTAAATTCTGGCCAAAAAAGTCAGTACAGTAGATTCTGGATTCGAGTGCGGGTACATGTCACGCACTCCTTTGTGTGTGTTCTCTACAAGTGTAATTATTATTATTCAACCACATATTTTCAAATAAGCAATTTAATGTGGATTTGAAATCGCGCATGTTCAGGCTCATCACATTCTGTTTCACTTGCATGAATAACTTTGGCGAACGTATCGTTCGATTTGGAAAGAATAACTTGCTTGTTGCATTTTGCAGGAAAAAGCTTTGGTATTCTGTATCCGTGGGCTTTCGTTAGAAATTAGTAAAAACTGAATGGAGACAAAAATTAGCTTCGCAGTGCTATAACTTACTGCACATGCAGTAATTAATAGTATTTTTGTTTTGTTTCTTCTCTTAATATGCTTTTACTTTAAGACTACCTCGACGACTAGACCATGATTCCTTCTTTTTTCGGTCAAGGGAAAGTTCCGTTTTCAGAATTACCGTGTCTGGTGTGCCGGCTTCTGATACTTCACATCACTTCAACAACTTGCTGATTATACCTTGAACACATATACAATAAAAGTTACAAAATGAGCTTCTACTTTGATGGCATTTGCTTGAGCGCACCAGTGTTTGCTACAGAATTGACCGCCGGTTTCAAGGATGTGACTGAGAACATACGTGGATTTCAAGCAGTTTGCGAGCTTATATTAGGTCGGCATGAAAGTTCGTTCGCCCATTTTTAAAAATTCATAACTCTTTAACGTCTTAACGAATTTGCACGTTCAAAATTTTGCATAAGAGGGGAACTCATGCTGTTTGCAGTGGTACCTGAATTATTCGTCAACCTTTACAAGTGAAGGAGTTAGAAGCTCAAAACCAAAATCACTCAAAATTTGGACTTTTTGTAGGGTCATAAAAAATCGGGAACTTGCAACAAAAATCGAAGCAGGTCGGTATTGTAGGTTTTTTTCACCAGCTCTTTCCAACAATGCAAAGTTTGCGCCGATTGATTGTCTCTATGAAAAGTTATGATTATCGAGCAAGCAATACAAAAGGGCGAATTTGATTTATTTTGGCATTTTTCAGGGAAATCGTAATGTTTCATAGAAATGCCCAATCGGCGCAAACTTTGCACTGTTGGAAAGAGCTGGTGAAAAAACCTACAATACTGACTGCTCCGATTTTTGTTACAGGTTTCCGATTTTTTATGACCCTACACGAAAAATCCAAATTTTGAGTGATTTTGTTTTTGAGATTCTAACTCCTCCATTCGTAAAGATCAACGAATAATTCAGGTACCTTGCAAACAGCATGAGTTCCTCTCTCATGCCTAATTTTGTTTGTACAAAATCGTTGAGAATTTAAAGAGTTAAGAATTTTTGAAAATGGTGCGAACGAACTTTCGTGCCAACCTAATACATTCCAGGTTGTGAATGAGAGTTAAGGTAAAGAGGTGGAGGAATTACGCGTTAAGCGGAAAAAAATCACGATTTTGTTTTCTCTGGACCGCACAGCTGGCTCGCCAGGAGGCACGAGGTCCCTTTTGGAAAAAGTGTGCCGGACCTTCGATACAGAATTATTTCAAGATTACTCCATGATTTTGACTGAGCCATACACGAAATTGCTGCACTGCTATAATCAAATTGTTACTGAGAAAATAAGAGAATCATGCCGAGGTACCGAGAGTTGAGCAGTAAATCTATTTCACAATTTTTCAGACAATGTAATAAGTTGTCATTGCCCACACAAGCAGCGTCATACCATTGCATTTCGCTGAAGGGGCAAACCATTTGTTTATTTCGGTGCAGTTTTCGAATTTCTGCATTATCAGGGCTTTGTAGCTCAAAGACGTTTTCTCAAATAGGATTGATAATCAGTGAAGTAGTGAGCCATTAGTGGGACATCAGAATGAAGTAAAGGTGGGGAGACGATACTGAAGAAAGAGGATATTTTTCTCATGGGGCAGAGTTGTCTTACTCATGGTCTTTTTAGCCGCTGATTTCGAATACACAATGTTAGTTCATAGCTGATAGCTCTCAATTTCCAGGTGCTATCCAATGGCTTGTAAAAAACAGTATTCCGCTTTGATTTTCCTCCTCGAAAAGATAGCGAGCCGGCCCGTGTGCCACTGTGCTAGGCTCGGCAAAATATCTGATATATGTATGACTGTATGTTATATGTATGAGTAAGCCATTGTGCCAGGCATAGAGGATGCAAAGGCTATCATCTATCATCATTAATCACCAACAGACGGTATTTTCTCGCAAGAAAAACAGCTTGCGACTTTTTTCTGCATTAATCACAATGAACTGCACGTCGCTGCCAAGCAAATAAATACGATGGCTAGGACTACATATCGTCCGCCATGAACCGCACCATACTTACTGCTTTGCTGTTTACTACACTGCTTGTTTTATCAGAATGTAGTAACTGTTTCGATAATTGGAGTCGGTGTACACCTGAAACGGCGGTAAGTTCATTTGAGGCAAAAAGCACTCCTGTAGCCTCTTTTTTTGAGCAAAAAACATGTGAAAGCCCTCTGTTTTTCTTCACACTGTGGAAAGTACTCGAGCAAATATGTTTTTTGCGAGCTTGAGGAAGATACAAAATATTGAGGCGACAAATATGGTATGCGCAGCAGTTTATTATAACTTATATCTTTTCAAATGCGGCGCTCATTCTTTGGTAAAGATTATAATGTAAGCTGCAATGCAGCCATTATCGTAGAATTTCGACATCGCAGCTAACAAGGGAAGGATAACTCGCGGTGACGAAGCGAAACGATATGCATATCATTAGATGCGTTTGGATAAGCTGATTCCAAATCTACCTTTCCTCTGCTACGAGCTTCGCCAGAAGAAGCTGTGGGCGCTTGGTTGTCCAAATTTAGCAAGCATTCAGTGCCATATCTTCAAGAACTACTTGTTCAAAGACGCCTACTCATGTGTTCGGTGTATGTATGTATTTCTTGTAGTCATTGTATCCAAAAGCATGCCAATTGATTACTCCTAAGCTAGTTTTAAAACGCATTGGGCATCAGAATCTCAACAATGTCACATATCTAAACGCCCATAGCTTCTTCTAGAGAAGGTCGTAGCAGATATAGTCGTCCTCCCCCCCCCCCCCACTAGACACCTAGTGGACGAATTCGAATTTGAAGTAGAGCACGCCGTATGCGGCAGAGCGCGGTACCTGCAGCCCTCACTTTGATCTCAAACAGACGTTTTTGTGTTTTCGGAACGTTTCATCCTATTTTTTGAATGTTAGCAGTCTTCTTAACTGGATTGTAGACTTTGTTAGTTTTGAGTGATGTTTCCTGCTACTATGCTCGTTATTTGAATTCTGATTTCAAATTTAGCTGAAATAAAAACCGAAGAAGCGAGCATAGTAGCACGAACCATCGCTAAGCAGCAACAATTTCGTCGATTTTGATTACAAACATCATTGAAACAAAAAAAATCACCATGCAACGACGAAGAAACACCAAAGAATATTGGATGAGGTTGAACTGAAGTTGTCAATGCCGCGCTCTGCCGCAATCGGCGTGCTCTAGTTCAAACTCGAATCCATCCACTGGGTGTCGCTGGTCTTTGCTATCTATGTTGCAAATTAGTGTTTCTGAGCACTTTGAGTTTGGGCCAAATAGCAGTTTTGTACATCATGTCGTAAGAAATATTTCTGATACTTGAAGTAGTTGGACGTCAAAGCTTAGGCTCTGCTCAGTAGCGCCAGCCAGCGCTGTGCTAGCACAGCGCATTCGTGCGTCTACCCCGCCAGGGTCATTTTGAAGAACTCCTCTTTAGTACAAGCAGCAAAATCGGCGACGTCTTCACAAAAGCGCGAGAGATGAAACCTTTCAAACAAACAAAAAAAAAACACTCTTTACGCAGAAAAGCGGGAAAAACGCGGAGAAAATCTTCGCAAACGCTAATTTTCTGGCTCTGCATTCATTATAGAATTAGCTTATATTGCTGCAACCTACTTATCGAGTACCGAGTTTGAATCTCAACGCTTAAAGCTGATAAAATGTCAGTGACTTATGCATTTAATGTTTTTGTGTCTCTGTCACACAAATATGATTTTGAGTTTACTCTCGCTCATCATTTGAGATTCTAAATTCAAAATAATTTTAGTTTGCTACTGGTATTTTATGGAAATCTTGTGCTGAGTACTGCCAAAAATGCAAAGGAAGAGAAAGCGGAAGTTGTGTGCAAGTGCACAATAAGGAATGCAGTGGAGGATATCAATGCCAGTAAGTTGGATCTTTTGCCTTAATAACATAATAGTTCTGAAAAATGTATTTCAGGTGCAAAGGAGGATCACATCCTAAATCCACAAATGCGGTGGACATAGCTACCTGCAAGCTTGGTTTGTAAAGCAATAAGGTTGATCCATTCAAGTGTTATACAAATCGGAACTCGATTAAATCGTTATCATTGTCGCTGTTTCTGCACACTGCTAAGCTGCACACCGTTGTATTATCCGATATACTCCATTTTATCGTCAAGCCATTTGTATAATGTCGTATTGCACACCATGCGCGCTGTTTGACGACTTGTAAAATTGTGAACTGTTCATTTCCAATGATTTCTCCTTGTACCCAACTCCCTTTCAAATTGATTTAGATCTGTATTACTTACAAGTACACATCTCTACGATGTGTAACGCTGGAAAAGGTTTTACCGGTTGCGGTTGCCGCGCATAGTGTGCTTCACATATTGAGTTCCAAATACCCGAAGATAAACCGATGCAGACGAGGAGTAATTTACTGCTAGGTCGCAATTATTGTCTGGGCGATGCAGCCATCAATCAGTCCCATGATGTAGTGATTCTACAAAAGTGAAAACACAATGACTAACTCACAGATGACTCACTAAATAGCAAAATCTCTGGAAGAGAATGCAGTGCCTCCGTATAAATTTGCCACCATTTGGAAGAATGCTCGTTATTTTTCACTTCTCGGAAAATCTCGATACTTTTTCTTGGCCGCCATGGAAACATCTCGAACACCAGGAAGACCTACAGCTCCAATTTTTTATACTAGAATAAAGAGGGGCCATGTAGTCATGCTGTCTCAGTCAGTACGTGCAGTGCATGTATCACCGTGTGATACAAGCGGCCATAGCACCATATTTTCATCAGTTCTAGAAATTGGCTAGGGAATTCGTTAGTCGAAGTGGCCTTTCCGAATGAGATCTACACTATGAAGACGATTGGAAGTTGAATTCAAATCTGTTTTCTGTATCTGCCAAATCTAAGTTTGAATTATGAATGTTTTTGCAGTTGGGAAAATGTAAGGTGCGTAATTTGAACAAAATCTTTTAAAATAGCTCAACTGGTTTAGTGTCAATATCAAATACTAATATAATATTAATATACTTATCATTAAAATGCCTACTGTCTAATGATACTCAACACGGCTGTATTTGAGCAGATGGGACCAAAACGATTCACTCCCCTAGGTGCTTTTTTGGCTCCAATAGTTACTATACTTTACTCATAACTCAGAGTCTAACGTCTCGTTCAGTTGTGCAGATTCAACGTTACAGATTACGTTCGAAAAAGCCAATCCGACCTAAAAGCATTTCTTCGTGAAACTGTCCAGTCAAGATTCAAAGTTTAATCAGGCAAAGTTTAAATTTTAACAGCCGCAATTACACAAGATTCCCACTCAAATTTTGGTCAACCAAAGTAGCAGATGAAATCCGACTGAACTGAACAAAATTTCTTATTAAAGAGCTGATCAGCAACACGAGAGGATTTAGGATTGGTAGACATTAATCGTCATTTGCGTTGTGGAGCTGGTGTCTATTGAAGCACTTGAACGATGGTAAATCTGAAGCACATATAGTTTCATTTTTTCCAATTCATATGCAATCCTTTGATCACAACAAAGGCAGCTTTCATTCTATACGGAGCTTTAATGAGAAATTGAGAGCAGAAGCGCTGCGGAGATTATAAAGCTTATAATGCTTGAGCATTTGTGACAAGTCATCTTGGTTGAAACTGAAAACTTTCGCTTTGTTTAAAGCATATACGAGTGCAGTAATTCTCAGTAATTCCTTTGAATGTGTTACAAAAAGGCAAAATCTTGTATTCTTTGAGGTTTCATATCAGTAAGCCAAGTCTTGCTTTTTTAATTGTTAATAGGCTAACTTTTGAGTAGATGGATACCAACATTAATGCATGCATCTGGTGTAATACTGAAGAGAGAATAGATCGTTTCGTTTAGAAGTTATCAAATGTCTTCAAATTTGTTTGAATCAAAAGTTCTGTCACTATAGTCGAAAAATCATAATACTTCCTATGTAAAAGTGTTCGCTTACTTCGAATTCTACCAGAAAGGAAATTATTATTTAAGCTGAAAATGTGCAGAAAAAGAAGCCACTCTGACTCTTGATATTCCAAAATAAATCGTCAAGGATGTGAAATGCTGCAGAAAAAACTTAAGACATGTTTCCTACAATCTATGTAAGCTGCTTTCCAAAATTTGAATTAATATCGACTTTCTGCAAAGTTATGATTTACGAGCAAAATGGAAGCGGCGAAATAATTTTTTGCGTTTTATGCATTTCACAAATCATAAGTTTTTAGGAAAGATTAAGATCACTACAGCATCACACACGCACCAAAATTTGTACTTTTAGGAAAGGCAGCTTACGTAGATTGTAATAAATATGTCTTCAGATTTTTTGTACTTTTTCAGATTTTTGATGATCTATTTTAGAACTAAGAGCTCAGTGCTTTCAGACCAAAATTTAATCCAGAACCGCTTAGTTCTATACAAATCTTTAGTTTGAAGCGTGAGTTGTTAATTATAAAAAAAAGAAATACGCCTGAAAACCTTGCTACACTAATTTTCAGATTTCTTGAATTTATTTCATCAAAAGGCCTAATCCATAGTGACGATGGGTGCTGAAAGTTCATACCGAGATCATACAGTAATGAAGAGAGATTGATGGTTCGCTCCATACTATAAATCTAAACTGAACCTCGCTCTACAGAATGATACCTCGAACTCGGCAAAAGACGTGAAAGCAAGAGAGTGATTAACGATTGAGCAGTGTGCACATCTTTTGGGACACTTTGTATATCACTAATATTTCATCCAAGTTTATTCTACCTATTCTCTAATCACTAACATATTGACGAGCGCATGACACCGGCTGGAAATCCATTGAAACAACGGCAATATTAAAATAAGCCCACTTTACAAGTTTTCTGCGCTAAAACTGGGAATAAAATATTAGGTCGTTCCGAAAGTAATGTCGCTTATTTCAAACGTACACCACATCTCGCGGAACAAAGATGTGTAAGAGGATCTGGAAGCATTCGATGCAGAATTTTATTCTCTTTCTAATGATTATAACATCACTGCATAATAATCAATGAGCTCTCGAAGAATTATCAAAATCTGCGACCTATGCTTTTTGAGATGGCCAAGTTTCACAATTTTTCTAAAATTTTATAACAAACCTCAGAAGGAGTCCAAGTAATGGATGGATGGAGCAACCCCTGCAGGAGACAGCACAGTTTTTTCTTACCTTCCAAAGCTCTTCATAATTTTTGTATAGATTTTTTGATGAAACCACCGAATTTTAGCAGGCTGGTCTCAGACTCAAATGCATCAAACACCAACAAATCTTTGGATTTTGAAACTTACAAAGACGGATTATTGTTTGACACTAATTTTACAAACTAAATGAGCATTCACCGCTTCAGATTAGCAACTTTCGAAAATTTCGGGTACAGCCTAGGGTCCCCTAGAAAACCTGAATTATGATGATTTTATCCCGGAAAACTTTAGAATCAGAAACAAAGAACAACTGGTAGAAAGAGGAGAAAAAGCTGCGTCGAATGACACCCGAGTTGCTTGCCGGTTATTGTTCTGTGAGGTTTGACTTGACCAAATATGGAATTTGATGGCATTGAAAAATTGATTCCAGAAGGTCTAAGAAGCAAGCTAAAGAAAAGGAAAAAACTACTCTGTGTCATATTGGGTTTTCTCTAGCTATCAGTCATGTAATTCTTCGGAGAGTAGGTACAAAAATTTAGAAAAATAGCCAAACTTAACCATTTCAAAAAGCATGGGTCGCAGATTTTGGTGATTTTTCGAGAGCTCATTGAATATTATGCAGTGAAATAATAACTGTTAGAAAGAGGATAAAATGCTGCATCGAATGCTACCAAGAAGTCCTGGAAAGCTTGCTTTCGCGAATTGTGGCGTTCATTTGGAAAAAGCGACATTACTTTCGGAACGACCTAATATTTGTCAGATTCTCAGAGCTATTTAGGTATACTATAGAAAACGCAGTATGCTTTTTTTTTATCAAAAAAATACTGCAGGTCTGTGAAGGGCCTTGGTTCCCAACAGACATAACATACACATGGTTGTCGAAGTGGTGAGAAAATTTTATCTGACTGCCGACGAAAAGTTTGTAAGTGAAAAGAGATCAAGTTTGTATTTGTATATACAGGAAAACTCAATAGTGCTATGCTTTTTATCAAAAAACGATGTATTAAGTGGGTCCCAAAGTTCGTGCCGTTTTTTAGACCTTTTCTAAAATCGTTCACAATGACGATAGTTCGTTCAAACGGTATCAGATGCAGTATTTCTTCTTCTTTCCAGCAGCTATGTTTTGAAGTGGCTGTCTTGACGAGCGCTAAGGTAATAGCCGAAAACTAGAACCTTTTATTTTTACCATGTCTAGCTTTCGCTATTTTCCAGAATCTTCATTTTAGACTTTTGGTGCTCTAATAAAACCTAATAGGAAAAACCTTTTGCAAGGTAATGCAATTTTTTGCATTTTCCAGTTTCCCTATTTAGAATTTTGCTGAATTATTTTACCAGAGCATTGCATTTTGAAAAATCGCATGACACATATGCCCGTAGTAAACCCCCCCCCCATCAGGGCATCTCTCTCGACGCAGGCCGGCGTTGATCTCATCACGCCTCAGTCTAGCATCCGGCGAGTCATTGATCTGGATGCGGATCGCTTCCAAGGCATTACAATCGAGTGCGTTCTAAGAAGAAGAACCACTCGAGCTGGTTTGGTCAAACGGGTAAGCGATTGGAATTACAGAGGCGCGGCCGTGGTTTGACTCCGACTAGCGACACACCTTTTGATGCATCGCTGGGCAATCTTTGATAGCGGCCACTACGCAATCGATGATGACCGCTATCAAGGATTTCGCTTAGCAAATGCACGGATAAAACCAAAACACAATTTGTGACGAAAATTTTATGGAAAACGAAATGGTTGCAGCGTGAATTCGATGAAATGAATAAAAGAGTTTTTGTTTTGGACAGCTAGTGGAAAAAAACCAGTAAGGTCTATAAAAAAAGAGAAGAATTTGTTTTTTTTTGTTAGCCTCGCCAAAATCAGCTGTTCATCGATCCTCTCCTTTTCGGGCGCGGTTGTGCAGTTTCGCGCCGATTTTGTCTGCATTTTTAGAGTAACTGATGTGTATCGTAAGTTACTCAGGAGCAACTTACGGAAGTCATGTCTGCATCTCCTCTTTTACACACTATTTGCATCACTCTAACACCAGTTCACGTTCAGGTCACTTGAACGTGAACTGATGTGGAAGAGTTGACTGCA